TTAACCTTACATTTGAGCTATTTTCCCAGGGATGTTTTTTTTCCCCCCTCGTCTGAATTTGTGAGAAGGTTAGATGTTCACACACACACACACCCTGATGCCATTAGAATTGTTGATATACAAGCTCACGGATAAGCTACAAAGATCTTTCTCTACTCACCCCAGGTAAAGGTGCTAAATCTTGTATAAAACAGAGTTGGATCTATCACATTATGCACAGGCTGAAACGAGGCTGAAAACATCAGCCACCCTTTTTGACCTCCACCGCAAGTCCCTTGTAACATTACAAGCAACTCAACCTCAGAAAGGGTTGCAGGAATTGGGTCTGTCTAGTTTAATGAAGAGAAGGACCAGGGGGGTGACATGATAGCAGTGTTCCAATATTTGAGGGGCTGCCCCAAAGAAGAGGGAGTCAAGCTATTCTCCAAAGCACCAGAAGGCAGGACAAGAAACAATGGCTGGAAACTAACCAAGGAGAGAAGCAACCTGGAACTAAGGAGAAACTTCCTAACAGTGAGGACAATTAACTAGTAGAACAGAAGTTGCCTTCATCACTGGAGGTTTTTTAAGAAAAGACTGGACAGCCACCTGTCTGAAATGGTATAGGGTCTCCTGCTTGAGCAGGGGGGGGTGGACTAGATGACCTCCAAGGTCCCTTCCAACTGTGTATTCTGTTATTTTTGCAAATGCAGCTGAATCTATTTTACTACGCGTGTCACTTTTGAAAGCAGCCGCCACATGCTGTGTTCCTTACCAAACCCCTGTGTAACACCCTAGTCTATTAAGTCCTGTTAAAGTTGTTAAATCTTGTATTTTCCATAAAGGCATCTTGATCTATATTATTGGATACGAATGGCTGCTGCTGAAAACACTTTGTAACTTCCTAGGCAATTTATGTAGGAATTAGTCTTACAACAAAGAACATTGCATGCCCACTGAAGCAGGAATGACAGATGAAAAAAAAAACTGTCAATTTCAATTTCTCTCCATTTCTCCAGTTGTTAAGGATTTTAAGTGTAATGTTGTTGCGCTTCAAGTGTTTATTATATTTAAACATTGATATATATTCCAGTCTCTGCATTTTTGTCCAGTTTTGCCTAGGAGGCCTTTTTTTCCCCAGACAAAGCTCCCAAATATAATGCATTTCTTAAAATATATTTTAGAATCCTTCTTCTCATTAAACGAGACATACCCAATTCCTGCAACTATTCTTCATGTGTTCCAGTCTCAGCTATTTGTCCGGAATGGTAGAGGGTCTCTTGCTTGAGCTAGATTGGATTGGAAGACCACTAAGGCCCCTTTCCATGCTATTAGTCTATGTTTTATGTTTTACTAACTCCAAATTGGTTAGATTTCTGAAATTGGCCAAGGTAACCTAGGTATCTAACTGCAATAAACTCCCTTATTCAAGGTAGACCACAAGCATCTTCCGCACCTTGAATTTAATTACTGTTATAGACTTTCAAATATATAGCATGCTTAAATGTGTGTTATGTATGTGTATACTTTTGAGAGCAAGCAACAACATTTCATTTTTAATGTGCCACAGTAAAAAATAACAAGCCTGCCTGCCTGCCTGCCTGCCTGCCTGCCT